CCCCGAGACGGCAGGAGCCGGACGGGCAGCCGACGCAGCACTGCTCGGGCAGCGGCCCACCACGCGGGTCAGCGGCCAGGCAGCTCTCGCGCCCCCGGGGCGGCCTGGGGTTCCGTCTTTTTAGAAAGTTAAACCGGAGCGAACTTCCCTGGGAAGGACAGAGCCCGGTCACAGCGGCCTGTCCGGGGAGGCCATGGGGCCGGAGTCCACACCACCGGGGCCGGACGGGCAGGCCGCTGGGCTGCCCGGCGCCCCAGCGCAGGGACGAGCGGAGCCTGGCGCGTGCGTCGCGTCCCGGTGCCAGGCCCTGGCTGCCGCGGAAGATCCTCAGTGCTGCTGTGCCGACCGGCTCCCCGCGCCTGGGGGGTGGCACAGCTCCCCAGTGCGGGCAGGTGCCCTCCGGGGCGCCAGACCTCTCGCTAAGTGGGCTCCGTCAGCCGGCAGCTCCAGGTGAGCGCGTCGCAGGGCCGCCACCCCCGGCGAAGCCCCCCAAGAAGGTTGGCCCCCAGGGGCACCCGGGGAGGGGAGCCCCTCGGGTCCCCCCGTGCCTGGTTACGCGTCCAGGGCTGGGCAGCGAGCGGCCTCTTTGGGGTTCCCCGCCAACCCACACCCCCTGCCGCCGCCACGCGGGGCCTGCACCGGCCCTTCCCGTCCTCCAGAGGCTCCGGTGAGGCCAGGGCTGGGGCCTGCTGGGCACCATCTGCGCTGGCAGCTGTCCCCGGTCCGGCCAGCAGCCACGCCCCTGCCCGTGCCAGAGTGCCCCGTGCGCCCACCCCTCTGCACCCCATTCTGCCGCCCTGGAACCGGGTCCCCACGTGGGCATGGGGCGCCTCTAAGGGAAACGGCCGGGGGCGGAGAGCAGAGCCAGGCTCGGCAGGTGGGCGCCGAGGGTGTGCCCCCCCCCCCCGCCCTCCTGCACGGCCCTGGGGCAGCGTCTCCAGAGGCGGATGTGACGCTGGTGCTGGGGGGGCACCCTGCCGCCGGGGGGGCACGGCCCCCCACAGCCTCTGGGCTCGAGGCCCTGGGCCCGGCTCCCTCACGCTGGGCCTGTGGCTTCTGGCCAGGGTGGGGCCAGGGACCGGCCGGAGCCCTGGGTCATCCCGCACGGGTGTGTGTGGGGTTTTTCAGACAAAGAGCCAAGAGCGACAGAAAAGCCCGGTCACGGCCAGTCCAGCTGGACCCTGGC